AGGCAGGTGCTTTACTCTGAGCCACACCGCCAGTCCCCCATGATTCGTTGTTTTATGGCTGCTGTGCACCATGGGAGACAGAAAGATGCTTAAAACCTTATAACCTATCTCTTCCATTAGTTATAGACAGCTTCCTATTTTAGTAGCTTTGGGATTTCTTTTTTCAGTACTAGTTTCTTTAGATAATTCAACAGATATCTAATGGAAGCACGTGAATTTTAAAACAAGTATTGGGTCTTAGATTGTTTCAGGTTTCTGACATTTCTTATAAAATATGACTTTTATCCCTGAGAGTTTAATACCCATTAACTTCTGGGTGAAGGAGCTGCTGGTGTGATTAGTTTTTATGGTGCTTGCAAACTCAAGGGATTCTTTAAAAAGGGAATGTGACTGGTTTGGGAGTCACTTATACTGTGGCAATATCATTATTACCTGAAATATCCATTTGTAACTTAGAAAGGCAAATTTAAAGAAAAGCGATTACTATGCAATCACTGGATATTTTGAAATCAGATTTCTGCTTCTGGCAAGTTGGATACAACAGCTAACTGCAGCTCAGCCTTCCCAGAGCCATCATTGCTGTCCTGTCCAGCTAAGTGAGTGGGGAGTAGAAAAGGCCCTCTCGGTGGGTATACAAGGAGTGTGGAGGGGAAATCGCAAGGTCATTCCAGAGCTCTGACCTGCCCGGATCCCTGTTTTGGTGAGGGAGAGAGGCCAGATTCAGGGTGTAGTATTGCCTTGCTACCTACCAGCCACTCCCTGTAGCCCTACCCATTCTCCCCATGGAAGAAAGCATTTTGGGCAGAGCACCAGCTCAGAAAACTTGGCCTCTTCAAAGTGGTGAGCCAGGGCCCCGAAACGCTCAGCCGGTGTCTAGTTGTGTGTTTCTCCTGCTACCAGAGCTCAATAGACAAGTTCGTGTCTCTGTCTTCTGAAATCTGTAAACAAAATTCAGTTTTTTAACTTTTTTTTCAACAGTTGGGCTCTGAAGTATCTATGAGAGCGGGGGAATGTTAGCACTAGTGGAGGAGACCAGTGCCCTTGAAAATTGGATTCTGTTTTGGAAAACCGCTGACACAGGCTAATCGGGCCAGACCTAAATGACTCTGTGTTTCTACCTGCTGACAGCCTCAGCCTTGGGACGGGGCTGAAATTAGCTCTCACCACTCGGGAGAGACATGCCTTCCTCTTTTTTGTTCCTTCTATAGAAATGGGGGGTAATTTTATGCCTGTCAAATAATACAGCTTAACATATAGATATAGCCAATATAAAAAAAAAAAAAGGCAGCCGTACCACATCCCTTCTTAAGAAATACACCGTGCTGATGTGAACAACTAGAGAACTGGGTAATAGGTAATCTCACTGATGCAGGCTCGTTGTAAACCCTTCTATAACTGATGTTCTTTGGAAAAGCTATAGACAAACCCATGGAAGCTCAGGAGCTGGACTGATTTTAAAGAGGGCCGAGGACGTGTGACCAGCCTGGCATCCAGGGGGCCCAGACCACGTCACCTGACAGAGACCTTGAAACCTTACGCTCTTGGGGGAGATGCATCTGTGCATTTAGGCTCTGTTGTCCAGTGCTGGTATCTGTTAGAAAGGGAGGAGGATTCCCTGTCCATTTTGTTAGCGCACAACTGGTTGTTTTGATCTCAGTGCCTTCCAGCCAGCGCCACCGTGGCTGTACAGCAGCAGCGTGGGGACCCGTGAAACACTCCTGCCAAACGGCTGTGCTAAGTTTCAGAATAGAAGACCATCACACTTCTTGTTCTAGAACCAGCACTGTTAGCTGTACCACATCTTGACCCTAAATTTAGGCATCTTTCTTTTTTTTTTTCTAGCCAAAGATTACTATGCAAACATTTAAGAGAAAAACTGCTCGAAGTAATTTTTTCCCCCAACTTCTCTTTGGTTTCCTGCAATGTTTAGATGACTCATTCTCTTCCAAGAAATTTGAAAGGAAAGAGATGCAGGCTGTATATTGGTTCACAAAGACTGGACTGTAAATTCTTTTTGTTCCCTGCCTAGAAACCCCTAGCTTCTTCTTTGGGAATGGAAAGGCTCTGCAGCCTTCATTGTCCTGTGCTCAGCCTGCCAGGTTTGTTGTTCCCAGGAATGAAAGTGCCCTTGTCTTTGGGTGGGGCCGGGTGCAGCTTCCCAGCTCCATCAGTCCCTCCGCAGTGGCCAGCACGGGAGCCCTTCCTGGGCTACACTTTCCCCTAAAGGCACACAGTTAAAGTTTCCCAAACGGAGAAAGGGCAGCCTTTTATCATCTACCCAAGGAGAGACCCTGGCCATTTCCTGCGTCTCTCAGTGGGTCCGAATGGCTCCTGATGGCGGGGGCTTGTGGTGCATTTTAACTGAGCCAGCTCCATGTGTGTTCCCAGCCCTCTGCCCGCGGGAGTGGCGGTCAGATCCCTTCAGCAGCCTGTTCAAATAAATAGGGCTCTAGTGGAGTGGTCCTCCCAACTAATCAGTACATGAAAGGAAACATCTGCCTGGCCTAATTGCTGTTTTATTGGTTAGGCCTTCCCTGCCTCCTCCCTCTCGCTTCTCCTGCATGGAAGTCGGGGTCAGCAACAAGGTAGAGGATCAGGAGCTTTCTCCTTTAACCGCTGCCATTTCAACGGAAGGAGAGAGGGTAGGAAAAGCTGGCCTGGAGGCAGGAGGGCAGTGTGGTGGGAAGTGATACTCATGGTCACTTCCTGACCCTCTTGCTGACACTGAGGCTAGCAGTGAGTCATTTCTCCCAGCCTTACCTCCTTGAGCCTCTGCTGCTTCAGTGAAGCTCAGCTTTGCTCACCGAGGCTGGAGTGTGAACGGGGTTGTAGATAAAAGGTGTTCTCTCTCCTGGCTTCTGGTCCAGCAGTTGAGGTCACTGGATGAGGGAACTTGCAAGGTGCTCCTGAAGCCCTCCATTTTGTAGAGCATCAGGGTCCCTAAGAACGTGCTTATTACCATTGACGGTGTGTGCGAAGCCAGCCACCAGCCCTATACTGCAAGGGGTTGTATTGGAATCTGATACAGACCCTAGGAGCAGGCAAGAGCGCTTGTAGAATCAGAGTGGCAGAGATTGGAAGACCTGAGGGATAGCTTGAGCTGAAGCCTTTCATAGTATGGAAGAGAAAACAGACCCAGAAAGATTATAGCAAGTGTAGGAGATCTGAGGATAGAAGGAAACGCCTGAGATTGTTAATTTAGGGTCCCTTCCACCCCACTCCCTACCACCAGGTGTAAGAACTCATGGCTGCGCATGATGGAAGTCACGCCTGTGTTATATTCCACAGTGAACACCTTAATAGAAAAAAATGACCAGAGAATTCCTTATAGAGAAGTGGCAAACCATAAAAAGATGTCTAATCAGCATGTTTTTTAAATGCTCAAGCTTACTAGAACCAAAGGACTACAAATTATAGTAGGGTAGCACATCAAATTGTCAAGACAGAAAAGTGAAATTAGCGTTCTCACATGCCCCTGGCAGTATTTTTAATTGGCACAGTTTTTCTTAAGGGCAGTTTAATGATATAAGTGAAGTTTCATTTACCCAGCAGTGTTGTTTCTAATAGAAAGTAATGAAAGGTTTGTGCATAGATTATGTGGAAAGTAATTTTTTTTTTGGTACTGGGGATCGAACTCGGGTCCTTGCGCTTATGCAGCAGGCGGCGAAGCCAATGAGCTAAATCCCCGGCCCCTGTGGAAAGTAATTTAATACAGTATTTTTTTTAAAATCACAAAATTTTGCAAAGTCCAGAATAGGAACTACATCAATATATTGTACTAAAATGTTATAGAGGATTAACACATGGGGAAACATTTGCAAAAGAACGCTTAAGGAAATTAAGTTTCTAAACAGTGTTTATAATGGAATCCTAACTTTGTAGAAATAAGAATGAAAGAGAGAAAATTAGAAAAAGATACAACAGTGATGTTTTCTTCGTGGTAGATATTTAAGGATTATTTTTTTCTCTTGCTATTTCTATAGTTTCCTTATTTTAATAAGTATATATTACTTTTGAAATAAAAATAAGTATTTTTAAGGTAAATCCTGCAAAAAGCAAGCTCTGAAGTGATTGTTTCTGAGTAAAGGCCGCTTCTTGCCTGGGAGCCATGCCCTGCAGGGCAGCATCACACCTCCTCTTAGAAGGATGTGGCTGGTGTCTGAATATTCAGTAGTAAAAACTAGAAGGAGCTGGCAGAACATAAGATGAGGGCTTCTTCCCTCAAAGTGCAGTGGTGCCAATCGGTTTTAGCCCCTGTTCTCTTGGACTTGGCGCAACGTTCCCTATAGCAGGCATTACTGGCTTCCTTCTTCCTCATTATCTGTGTTCCTACTGCTCTGTGTGGTTAGGTACCCGCCTTGGGCGACAGTAGCAAAGAATCTGAGAATGAACACTGCTTGAGATTAACCAGGTAGAGACCCCTTAGCCTATCAGAATCAAGTAACATCAGCTAATCTTGCAAGCATCCAGCACTAGCAACCACTGCTCTGGGAGTATAGGGTAGAAGTAAAGCAAGTAAGGAGTGTGATCCCTTCCTGCTTGGAGTTTTGTTTAGCTGAGGACTTTGAAGACCTTGCACGTGTATATACTTTTTCCTAGCTCATCTTCTTACACATCTTCCTTTCCTTTGTAATCCTCTGGAATGTTTGCCTACAAGTATCGGAGAACACATGTTCCACCTAACAACAGTTGCTAGGCAGGATGTGGCTTTCAGACCTGCTCTTTGGGGACCAATTGAAAAATCAAACCCTATAACCCATTTTCCCTCCACGCAATTGCCTTTGCTAGGCTATAGAAAGGACACGTTTCATTTTATTAAAACTCTTTAAGTAATCTGATCATAATTGGGTCTGATCCGAGTGGTTATCTGATTTGCTGGGCTAAATAATGGGCCTTAATTGAATCTGTGTTATTTGTAGAGCCAGTGCTGCTTTTGCCTTTGTTGCCCCCGCCTCCCTCCTTCTGGTTCCCAGTTAACCTTCATTCTTCTTTCTTTGCAGAGTAAAGAAGTCGGCCAGCAGCTCCAAGATGATTTGATGAAGGTCCTGAATGAGCTCTACTCGGTAAATCAGTGGGGTTGCTTGGCTCTTTTAACGAGTAGCAGGAAGCAGCGTTTGGCAATTTGCAGCCATAGTCACGTCAGCAACAGAACTGAGCTGAGGTTGTGGACAGTGCATGTTCCCCAGTGGGGTGACCCCACCCATCTCGTTTTTCAAAACTGAATGAGCCGGGAAATACTTTCCAAAATAGTGTGCAAGCTCACTCTGGCCTCATCTGGGACGTTATCCCAAGAGACCAGCCAAGACCTAGGTCACCAGAACATCTGACACCATTAGTGAGCAACCAGGGGCCCCAAACATGACAAGGAACAGTGTTGCACCATTAATTTGTGCCTGTTGGAAGGAATTTATGGTCCAAGTCTTGCATCAGAGCTTGGATTGATCTGATTTGAGAGGGAAACCGATTTCTAAGTGTCCTAATATGAGGGAACAGTTCAGGCAGAGAGAGCTTTGCACCACTTCCTAGAGTGAAAACCTCAGCGAGGAGGCAGGTTGTGGGCCTGGAGAAGAGAACACAGTCCGTTCTGAAGTGACTGGCACTTCAGGCACATGATGTCCGTGGACTGAGATGTGCTAGTGTTTTCCCCAGCCATGTCTTGTTAATTGTGCTGAAAACAAACGCACACACGTGCACACCAAGCAAATTTTTGCTGCCATAAGGGGAATATTTCACTTGTACAGCTAACATCTTTTAGAGATCCCTTCCCTAGCTCTGCTTTGTCAGCCCTGTGTGTCATTTTCCAGGGTTGCCCCGTTCTACTTAGAGGTAAAAATGATTTTCTCTTTTCTTGCTTAGCCCTCCCTTGCCTTGCCTTCTTTCTTTCTTCCTTCCTTCCCTTTATAGGAAAAGCAGGCAGTGGTGATGTGCATCTCAGGCCTTTGGGATCAGAGAATTCCATGCTCTTAATCCAGAACCCTAGGTGTGGCCATTCTGTTATGGCAACTGTTAACAATTAAGCAAGGCAGTCATCTTGCTTTTCTCCATGATGCTCTGTTTGTTTTGAATTTCTGCACTGTGACTCTTCTGCATTGAAGCCAAGTAGATAGATGGCACCCTTAGGCTCACCTCCCACTTTTCGCTTCTCTCAAGTTAAGGCTTTTTAAAAATAGAAGCAAATTGACACAAACCATTTGCAGACTCGATGAGTTTCCTGAACTATCTTTTCAATGCTTATTTCTTTATTTTTAGAGCATCTTGTAGGCACTAAGATGAGCTATTACTCCTTTCTTCTGGCAGAGAATTCACCAAGATATAAATGACGTATGTTATTATGGGAGTCCTTTTTATTTTCCTCTAAGCATCTTGGGACTCTGTTATGTGTAGCTGTTTCTGGGAAGAATTGGATTGGATAACCTGCAAACTCCAAACCAACTCAAATCCAGATGCTGGTTCTGCTCTGGGGCTGTGGGCAACAGAGAAAGAATGGTATCTGAGGATCTGTTAGCTTTTGCCCAGGATCCTAGGTCTCTTCATGAGCTTTGATCTGAGGGGTAAGTGAGAGGGTTCAGGATGTGCTGGAGTGTGGAAGAACACCTGGAATTTGCTGCTGTGGTCCGAGCACAGCCACGTGGTGCCTCCAGCTGCAGTCTTTTCTAGGTCATGAGGCCACAGCCAGTGCAGAGTGTAAAGTCTGAGAATTGGCTGAGTGTGGTGTTCCCTGCCAAGAAGTGAGTTGGTGCATGCTCCTGTGATTTGTCCAAGGCTTAAATAAACTTGACATGTTCCCCTAGTAGGCGATGGGAAGAGAAAGAGAGTAGAGGACCCCAGAAAGGTTTAGAGAAGGCAGCACGGTCTCATACAGGGTCACCTTTTTTGCCCCAAGGGACATTTGGCAGTGTCTTCAGACATTCTTAGCAGTCACAGTTGAGGAAGTGGAAGACGTTGCTACCCGTTAATGAGTAGAGCCCACGGATGCTGTTGGAACTCTGCAGCATACAGGACAGCCCCCCTTAGCATGTGTCTGCTAACCAGTCTCCTGAATTACCAATCTAGATTCTACTCCGTGTTGAGCACTAACTAGCTGTGTAAACTTGGGGATACCCTTACCTCTGTGACCCTGTTGTCCCATATTGTCCATGTGCTGCTGTCTCTATATCCTAGGTTAGGAGGACTAGGGCAGTCATGCTTCTGAAATATCAGGCTATAATTGAGGATCGACAGAGTTTTGAGTTTCTGTAGGACATTAGTAGTACTCCATTTTATACAAAAAGCACATCTTTATCCAGTCTCCAGTTGATGGGCAGTTGGGCTGTTTCCAAGTTTTAGCTATAACAAACTATGCCGCTATAAACATGGGTGTGCATAGATCACTGTGGTATGATTCTTTTAATTCTTTGAGGAAGATACCCAGTAGAGGAATACCTGGGTCAAATGGACTTCCAGTCCTAGTTGTTTGAGGTATCTCCATATGGATTTCCACAGTGGTTGCACCAGTCTACACTCCCACCAACAGTGGAGAAGGGTTCCTTTCTCCCCACAACCCCTCCAGTACTTGTTATTGGTTGATTTCATAGTAGCACCCATTCTTTCTGGGGTGAGGTGGAGATTCTGTAGGACATTAGAAAGTTCACAGACTAGAATTAAGAGTTCTTTTGAAGGGAGAGATGAGCTTGGTTCCAAATAAAGACACTACAGAATTAGAGTGACTAGCTGTCCCGGAAAGCCTGGGACATGAGACTTCCAGTGCTGAAACTAGGAAAGTCCTAACAAGATGATTAGTCACCCTGCATGCGGTAGTGATCTCATCACGTAGGAAGCTGGAACTTCTGTGTGCTGGCTTTGGGAAGCCCCTTGCTCTACACGCTCAGGGAAGTTAAGAAGAGAATAAGGGAGAGTTTCTTGTAAGGATCATCTTCCTTACTTGATCTTCAGGAAAGCAGGGAAGGGCCTCTTCTTTCAGTGACCCTTTAGGCAATAGAATTTATCTGTGGGCATGAGAAAAAGGAAATTAAAGTTCTATGAAGCTCACCACCAGTGTGCTGGTAGAAATCTGTAATCCCACCATTTGGGAAGCTAAGGCAGGAGGATCACAAGTTCAAAGCCAACCTGGGCAACTGCGTGAGCCTCTCAAAATAAAAAAATAAAAAAAGACCACTATGTTCTCTCTTGCGAGGATGGCTCGCCTTCATGCTGTAGGGTGTGCTTCTTTTCCTACATTTACTTGGCCCAAACTTGCTCTGCAGAGCCTGACTCCTTTCCTACTTTTGGTAAAACTTTGCTAGCATTAAAAAAGAAAAAGATTGAGCATGTACCTTAGGATAGAGCTCTGCCTATAGGCCCTGGGTTCAATCTTCAGTACCTCCCCCCACAAAAACACACACCCACACACAAAAAATTACCATATTTTCAATGCTGTTCTTACCTCACATCTCCCCCTTGATGTCCGTGAACACTTTCTTTGAAGGACTGATTACCCGAGGATTGGTAGTTTAAATGCTTCTGAACACTGATAAGCCAAGGGGCAGAGCCCAGGTGTTTCCAGAGAAAAACCTCTTTGGACAAGAGGCCCAGAGTCTTTCCATAAGTGACCAGCTGCCTCTTTGTACCTTTCTCGTCTCTGCCCGAAGAGCCTTTGATTTTCTTGACTTGGCACCTTGTGCTAGGGGCTGCTTCCCACACCTGCTGCTGAGAGAGCAGTCTCAGGAAGCATCTTCTACACAGCGAGCGAGCAGGCGGGCGGGCTGGGGAGCCGTGGTGGATGGAGTTTGCATTTTCCAACTGAAGCTCCAGGGATGCTTTTGCAGGCATCACACTTCTTCCCCAGGAGCTCTTGATTGTCAGAGGCTGGGTCTTGAGAAGCCCAGGAAGCCTCTGTCATGTGCTGTGTATGCAGGCACAGATGCCACGTGGGATTGGCTGGGTAGGAAAAGTCAGGGAAACCCTAGGCTTGATAGAGAAAGAAGAGGCGTTGGAACACCAGGGCTGCTGTCACCCCGGAGGTTTATGTCCTGGTGCTGCCCATGAGCATATGTCCCTGGACTTGCAGCAGCAGCTGTTTGCTTGCAGAGCTTCTTCAGACTGGTGCCCAGCACCTGTGCCCTCAAAACAACGGCCCCCAATGGTTCCTCAGCTCTGTTTGTCTGTCTGACCCTGGAACAGGGCGTCATGGATTCAGCAACAAATCAGAGATGTCCCTAATGTAAGACACTTAGTTTTTAATAGGGGGAGACAAGAATATAGCAGCAAGTAAACAAATGAGGTGATGAGAGCTCGTACATGTCTGCACAGAGAAAGGGCATGAATCGGGCTCCTTGGAGAATTACTTGGGTTGAATCTTAATTGCCAGGAGCCCCTCCTCCCCAGCCAGCCCTTGTTTCATGACACTGTCTTCATTTCTCCTTCATCTCTCTGGGGCTCTTACTGACAGACTGCTTTCAAAGGTTTCTTCTCTCTGTATACCTTGTTTCTTCTCAATGTCTTGTTTGGGTCTTGGTCTTGGTACTACTCCCTATTAGATATTTTCCTTAAATGTCTGGTTATCCTCAGCTGCCTGCTCCTGTTTGAAAATGAGGCACTAAACAGCACTGGTCAACCATGGCTTTCACCGGACCAGGGTGATCTGCCTGGGTCGTGTCTTGGGGAGACTCCAGCATCAGCGTGTCTTTCTCTTTTGTCTTGGAGGGTCAGATTGCTGAGGCATGGTTCTTTTGATTTCCCACTTCTTATAGGGGCTGAATTGTGAGGAGGTCTGAGCCATCTCAACATGCAGTACAGAGCTTGGCTGTTGATCCTCCTTGCACGTTCGTACCCATCGGCTAAGCCCGATATTCTCTGGTGCAGAGAACCTTCCTGATAAACTCCTAGGCTTCTCATGTGATGAGGGGAAGATCTGGGGCCTGATAGTTCTTGGGCTTTCAGTATTCCTCTTGGCTCCCACTTCCTCCTGCTGCCCGTGCTTTCTCGCCGGTGTCGGGATGTGTCCAGTCGCTTCTCAACTCTCCCTCCTTTTGGCTCAGAATTCCATCGGTCAGTTATTGCTCGCCTACTGCTTGTCATAGCCTGCTTCCATTTTTTTTGTTTCCTCAATTTATACTAAAAATAGTAACCATGAAAACTTTTCTAACGTTTTAGTGTGGCCTGGGGAGGGAGCAGAGCTACATGAACTCAGTATTTAGTGTCTCACAGTAAAGTGAATGAAGCCAGTTCCTCTTTTCAAGACTCCCTTGACTTTGCTCAATCTTTCTTTCCAACTACAGTATTTCAGCTCCAGTCTTAGGCAGAGGAAAGTCACTGTCACTTGGTGGCCAGAATGTGGATTTTGGAGTTTGTCAGGCGTAGGTTTGAATCCTGACTCTCCCATTTGGTCGTGTGACTGAGCCCTATTTCCTCATCTTTTGAAGCGGAAATAGTAAACATATCTTTCATAGAGTTGTGAGGACTAAATGAGGTGGTGAACAGAAAGCCCCCAACATACAGCAGGGCCTAAGTGTAGGGCTTCAAATTGACATTGTGTCCTTGCTCTCCTCCGTTGTCCAGCTGCACACCCAATGTACCCATCCACCCAACTCCTCCACTCGGTTTCTCCCTCTCAAAGAGGTCCCATGGCATCGGAATTTCGGTGCTCTTCCACTTCAGACTGCTTGGTTTATTAGCAAGCATTTGTAATTCCCAGCTAGAAGCTCTTGCATGGAAACAGAAAGCTCCAGCAGAGTTGGGCAGGCACTGTGTGACTGGGAGTAGTTTCGAGAGGACTGGAAAGAAGCTTGAGTTCCAGGCTTCCTGGCCTCCTTGCTAAGTAGTGGAATTAGATTCCTAGACAGCTGCTTTGATGGAAAATTAGAAAGTTGAGTCTTTCTCTTTTTATATTACTTCCTTCTTGTGGCAACTCTAGTTGCACTTGAGAAAGATTTTATTCCTTCCCATCATCTTCTTACCTGGATCATGCAGGTTCACAGTACCCATGGGGTTATTGTTTGTATGATAGAATTGCCACACAGATAAAATAGACAAATGTGTGTGCCACTTGGCAAAGCCAGGAACATATTGGCTGCTCAGTAGATGATGGCTGCCCTTGCCGTCACTGCTGCCATGATTCTGGTTACATGAGAAGGTGTCTGATGTAGATCGGGCGGCCGGTAGAGAGCTTTTGGAGCCTTTTCTTCCTCCTCAGTTTATATCTGAAAGGTACAAAAAGTATGGGCTACTGCACCGCCTACTTTGGGGGATCCTACCCGGAGAGACGTGCCCTCAGGGTCTAAGAGAGGCGCCATTTTTCCTGCCTACTCAGCACTGTGAGGTAAAAATAATGATTCCAAGTTAAAATAAATAGAAGAAAATAGTACACACAGTCACTTCCGTGAGACACAGTGGCTCAGTTCCAATACTGCTCTCCCATACTTTGGAACAGTCTTTGATATGTACCATTTGCTGAACCAAACACTTGAGGGTCTTTCCCTCGGAGGATGAGGACGTTGCTCGTGAGGGAGAGGCCTGGGTGTTGGTCCTCACCACAGAGTTGACCCTCCTGGCTTGACCTCTGGGGTGGGGCGGGGTGTCTTGCAGGTCATGAAGACATATCACATGTACAATGCCGACAGCATCAGTGCGCAGAGCAAGCTGAAGGAGGCGGAGAAGCAAGAGGAGAAGCAGATTGGTAAATCCGTGAAGCAGGAGGACCGGCAGACCCCGCGTTCCCCTGATTCTACAGCCAATGTCCGCATCGAGGAGAAACATGTCCGGCGGAGCTCGGTGAAGAAGATTGAGAAGATGAAGGAGAAGGTGTGTATGCTCCAGCAACTGCAGAGGCAGGAGGGATGTTCTAGATGGAAGGACTGATAGTTTCCCAGGAGGCTCCATGAAGAGCCAAACAAGGAAACTCGGGTTCTTTAGGGTGCTTCTACCCTAGCTGGAATCCTAGTAGTGGAAGAACTTGGCACGTGGCCACCAAGCTTTTACCCTTTAGCAGATAAGAACCAGTAGTAACCTTTCCCAGCCCACTTTCCTAGTCGGGTGGAATATCCTAGGGCTTCGGCTGTGTGTGTGTGACTCTAGACCTTCTGTTTGGCGTTAGGCGTCAAGGGTTCAGGGGCAGGAAGAGGTAGCAGCACCTCCTCCAGGGTGGCAGTGTAAGGATGGAGAACGGTATTTGAAGATAGAATCAAAGTGGGGCATGCGTGTGAAGTAGGGAGGCTCATTAACCTTTCCTGAATTGATCTACATTATGCCCTTGAATCTCATGAATCAGAATTAGAACCCAATTTAAAGCAGATGCGCATGGGGAGTAGCAGCACAGTTGTGGTTCTTGAATGAACTGTACTTTCATTTCTCAGAGAACAATCTCCCCTTAAAAAGAAAAAAAGGGAGAAGTGAACTTCTGATTCCCTTTCAGCGCCAAGCGAAGTACACAGAGAATAAGCTGAAGGCCATTAAAGCCCGGAATGAGTACTTGCTGGCTTTGGAGGCGACCAATGCATCTGTCTTCAAGTACTACATCCACGACCTGTCCGACCTTATTGATGTAAGTGCTGAGAGCCAGGGGGCCTGTGGACACCTCTCGCCTGGATTCAGAATCATGCTCACACGTTCCCCTCGTCTGTTGTCCAGGCATCCCAGGGCGATTAGAGAACAGTCTACAGAGAGGGTAGCCTGATCCCTAGGGCTGGCCATGTGCTGAGTACCAGGTGGTACACTCAACACTTTATCTCCTTTACTCCTCTCCACAGTCCTGGGAGAACGGCATCGTCTCTGCTTTTATTGGCTCACACCCAGAGTTCAGATGGCTTACCCAGAACTAATAAGTGACAGAGGCAAAATGTGCACCTAGGTCTGATTACTAACCCATGCTCACAGTCACTCTGCTCTTCTGCCTGCCAGGAAACACTCCCATTCATCCACAACTTGGACAGCGAAATGATGACAGGAACCAGGGTTAGGATGCCATACTTTATATGTATATAGCAGTGAGTGTTTCTCAGGAGTCTCTTGTGTGATAAGCAGTGTTGTCTCCAGTTTGTAGATGAAGAAGTTAGTGGTCCAGAGGGTTAAGAAATTTAACTGCACAAGGGTATCTAGATTGCAGTGCACTGCAAGTTAGGGTCTGGTTGAGAAGGTATCCAGATGCCGCTAACATCTCACCCGTCCTTGCCAAGATGTGGCACAAAGATGACTGAGAGAAGCGGGTTAGTGGGAGGTATGTTTTGCCTAGGGCAAGGACAGCCTTTTGTCTGTAGCCTTATGGGTCAGTGCCTGCCTCCTTGGCCTGCTGCTTCTCTTCAGACCTTACATGAGTCTTACAGTCCTTCTCCCCTGAAGATCTCAATCTGCCTAAGTGCTAAGCCAGTTCCAAGTGAAGCTACATAGTGTAACTTACACTAAATGGATGTACCTTGAGAACATAAGTTGAAGCAAGATAAATCAGACACACATGTTTAAATTCCGCATTGTTTCTCTGGTGTGAGAAACCAAAAGTGGAGATAAGGACCAAAATGCTTAATAGATATTGGGAAATGGGAAGAAAATGTTCAAATCAGAAGGGGAACTAGGGAGGGGGGAGGGGTAAGGAAAGAGGGGACAAGAAAAAAGAATAGAAGGAAAAATGGAAACAAAGCTTTTGTAAATAAGGAGGGGAAGAGGGGTCGGAGAGGGAGGTGGGGAAAAAAGAAGCAAGCTGTCGTGTACAGGTGCAGAATCCCTGTGATGAGTGTTATCACGTATACCTAAGACGTGCCAGTGAAGGTTTGCTTCCGAAAAAACCAGTGTAACCCTTCAGCCATCAAAGTGAGGACTGGGGAGCCAGCTCAGAGAGCATTGGCGTCCCACTCTCTAGGGCCCCAGGTGTACTCTAGCACCCTGCCTGAGCCTGACACTGGTCTCAGGTCCTTGGCAGTGGCAGCGGCAGCAGGTGGGCTTTGCATATCTCTGGGCAGACTGTGCTTGCTGGCCGGCCTTGGTTTCTCTACAAGCAAACCACACTTCACAACCTTGTGGTCTAAAATTCACTGTTGTGTAACCAGCTGGGCATCTGGGCTTGTCATTCCTGTGCTGTGAAGCTCTGCTTTGTTTCTTGCTCCTCTGCCCTCAGCAAACTAAAGAGCAGGACTAGAACCCACATCAGAGTTGCTTGGGAAACTTTACTGAAATACAGATTTCTGTCTCCCTTCAGACGTGGAGTTTGATTCAGTAGGTTCTGGCCTCTCAGTGCTCCCGAGTGTCACTGTTTCACTGGTTAAGTGAGCCCAGGTCTGGGTTCAGGCGCATCTTCGTTCTCGTTGTTGCTGATGCCAATCTGAACATTGTCCCTCAGTGGAGGTCAAAGCCCCAGACAAGATCCTTTCTCCTGCTCAGCACAGTTCCTCACTGTTGAGAAAGAGGCCTATTCTCTGCCTGCCGAAGAGAATCGTTTCTTTCTTAGGCTCAATCTCTGCTATTTATCTAGCATTTATTTTTTAAAGAATCAGACCATACAGGTGCCACACCTCTTCCACCCGTTTGCCTCTTGCTCTTCCCTGGGCAACTTTTCCGCTGTTTCACCAGGGAAGGAAGGGACTGCTGCTGAATTGGTCACAACTTATGGAATCCTTAGACCCTTCATCAGGTGTGAACACGTGTTTTAAAACCAGCAAAAGAAGCTGTTTTTTATCGGTACATACCTGTCGTGCATATTGATCATATTCGTCGTAGGAAATTTGTACCTGTACATAATATATCTTGATTATTTTTTTTCCCATTCCCCTCCCTTCCAACCCTTCAGAAGCTGTTTATTCCCAGTGTATTGAAGAAGAAGAAGCCCTGCTAAGCTAACTTCACAGGATGTGGTTGAAGTGCTGTTAAAAAAGAGGACAGCAGCCTCCGTGGCTCCCAGCCGGGCATGGGGCTGGGGCCTGTAAGCAAGTCCGGGGTGGCGGCTTTCCAGGCCTCACGGCAGCAAACTTGCTCTTCTTTCCTTGCTGTTGTGTTTTGGTTGTACCATGTTTATTTTGCTTGTTGTTTTGTTTTGTTTTTTATAGGGTGAGGACAGATTAATTACTCTTTTTATAAAAAGCTAACACTACTCAGCTCTAAATGTTCAGTAAATATTGATTTGGGGAGGCTATAAATGCTTAGCATCGGGGTACCCATTGTAATAGTTTTGTCTGAGAATTATTTATAGACTCTAGGTTTTTCAAACAGTGGCTCATAATCCATTCAGGGAAGCATGGAATTTCATTTATGGGTTTGACCTGTTTTTGTTTTTGTTTTTTTAATAAATGACTACAAGGGCTGGGGATTTAGCTCAGTGGTTTCATTGCCTGCTGCGCAAGCGCAAGGACCCAAGTTTGATCCCTGGTACCCCCGCCCCCCAAAAATAAATAAATAAAATGAATGACTACACTAGAATAGGAAAGAAAATATCAGGGTATATCAAATTAGTATAGTTAAATTTTATTTTGTGAAACTTTTATGTTAGGTATATACATGCATGTTTGCATACCCATGTGTGGTGGTGGGGTGTGTGAAACAGAGGAGAGAGAGAGAGAGAGAGAGAGAGAGAGAGAGAGAGAGTATTTCTGAGTTGAGAGCCACAGAGCTAAGAATAGAAGAAGGCCTCTTAGTCTCCTCTTTCAGCTCCAGGAGGGCAAGAACTAGGACTTACTTCGCCTTCGAAGCCCCCAGTGATTAATGTATAACTGAGCACATAGTATGTTTTTTGGGGGGAAAAGGCTAGAAAGAAGAAGATCACATAAGCCAAGATTTTCTTTCCATTTGGGGCCATTTAGTATTCTAAATTCTAAATTTATCTGACTTTGCTACTTAGTATTCTTTTGCTGTATAATTTACATATAAAAACTAAACTTGCGTGTTACAGCTTGAAGAATTTTGATAAATTTCTGTGCCCTCATAACCTGCATCTTTATCAAATATCAAGCTACAGAATAAATACCTTGATGAAAGATTCATTCTCTTTGCCCTGGAGAGTTCTTCTTGTCTCTTCCCAGTCAGTCCCCCACCCTCCGGCAGCCACTACTGTGACTTCACCGTAAATCAGTGTTGCCTATTGTAGAACTTCGTAAAGAAAATGGGATAATACAATATATACATGTTTTGTGTTTCATTTCTGTTGCTCAGTACATTTCTGTGCTTCCTCCAAGCTATTTGCATGTATCATTAGTTTCTCCTTTTTCTTGCTGTTCTGTGCAATAAAAAGGACTCTAAACGTGCTTTGGTAATGGACCAACAGTTAGAGCAGGAGCAAGCGTGGAGCCTGGGATGTTGGCACCTTGATCTGGCCACATCCTCCTGCTTATCGCAGTCCATTGTCATCTGTGTTGTGTGTGGCATTTTGCCTCCTTCCTAGGGGTCTGAAGCTCCATGCACGTTTAAGGTACTGAGGCTAAGTGAAAGGAAGTTATTTCTGTACATACCATTACATGGACACAAGGCCTAGCCGCTAACTTCTTCCTATAGCAGTATATAAGATTTAAAATCAGACTAGGAAGCCATGTGATCATCTGACATACACCAGGAAAACCTTGACTCCAGGCCAGAAAGACATTCTGAACTCACTTGGTATTGTCTGCAAGCTGCAGGCTCGTTGGGCTGTAGTTTTCCTCTCCTGTATTCCTTGGCTCTCTCAGTCTGAGAGCAGATAGATGAATGAGGAACAGGCCCTTGTCTTCATGCATGGCTGGAGTGTCGTGAGTGTCGCGTACGCATGTAGTGTCTGTGACGATGAAGATAAGTGTGTGCCCAAGCTGGGGATGAGGGACCTCGGTGTAGAGTATTAAGGAGGTGAACTAAGGCCGCCTGTTTATCTCTTTCCTGTCAACTTGAACTGGGTGCTGTGAAACACCCATTTGTCTTTGTAGATCTTCTGTGGAGTCTCTAAGTGAGAATATCAGGCAGGAAAGGGTTAATGAGCTATCAACACAAGTTATCACACATCTGGGTAGCTGTCATTAAATTCATATAAAAATTTGATTTCCCCTGAGGTTTTCATCAAACATTTGTATAACCCAGAGATGGCCAGGGGAGCCCAGGGTGGCCACAGAACTCATCAGAAGCTACAGAAAGAAAGCACACTTTGTCCCCAGTGTGAGCAAAATAACTAATGTGCTGTCTCTACTCTTGGGAGTCTCTGTGGAATAGGACGAAATGTTCAAATCTCATTTATCTGACTTTGCCAGATATTGCTTCTCTGCTAAAGTCTCAGTTTCTGGCTGTTGTCTTGCAGGTGTGTACATGGCCAAGGGTCTAGAAAACCTATTCCAAATCTCCTGGGTTAGCCAGAGACGGGGCAGTTGGGTAACACTGTGAGATCCCCATTCACTGGCACAGAGGGGCTACAGAATGGTCATGTAAATAGGGCCAGTGCTTCAGCCTGGAAAGCTCTTGCTTTGAGCAAAACAAAAGCTTTAGGGCCGTATCTACCTACTTGACTTAGGTCGGTATTCAGCCCATGTACATTGCTTTCTGATGAGGCTATTTTCCTGTGGCTTCCATCAGCTGAGCCTTGTTAAATACCTACTATGAGCAAGACCTAATGGGGAGGGACAGAAACAATAGTCAGATATGGGCCAAGCTCTCAAGGAACTCACATTCTGGTTGGGGTGGTAGGAAATATCAAGCCACCGAATCGGGGGCGGGGGAGGATCCTGTGTCAGGAGGGCTGAAGATGAGCATGGTTCTGAGGCTGGTTTCCCGAAGGCTGGAAATTAGAATTTAGGTTCAATCCCAAAAGGTTAGAAGAGTGGGACAAATTTCTGGAAAGAAGAGCTGGGAGCTCTAGGGCAGGGTCCTGTGGGTTTAGGGGGTGACGATTGGTCTCTGTTAGATGTCTACACAGTGTCAGATACGTGTAATGTGTCCTCTGTTAGCAGCTTACAGCAGTCTGAGGCCGACAGAGTCCCTATGTGAGGGAGAGGGATAAGTGGCTTATTTATAGTCACTCAGTTGATTGGGGGCCTGTGCTTTTCTGATACTCTGCTTTAAGCAGAGTATGGCATTGGATTGGGGCAGAAGAGACAGAAGGAAAGAGCTCCTGTTGGGTGGGCAGACTGCGTACAGAGTGAAGTTGGTTCAGCCTGTGTGGCCTTGCTCAGATTAGTTACTGTCACAGAGCTGCAGCTTCCTAGTCTGGAAAACTAAGAAAATACCAACCTTGTTGGGGTAATCATGAGGATTAGAGATGTAGAATGCAAATACTATACTAGTACACTGGCGTATAGTAAATATGCTCAGAGAATAGAAGCATTTCTCTGCTCTTCCAATACTGAGGGAGGTAGGGTTTACCCTGGGAGTGGGAAGAGAGATATATTTTAGGTTCTTTATCAAGGACACAACAAAAGTCACATTTGAGGACCATAAAGCAAACTGCAGTGGTATAAGTAAGGGTATGAGTTAAGATGGAGATAGTGAAAGTGGAAAGGAAAGGCAGTTTCCAAAAATACTAATGGTTTCTGAAGGGGAATCTGCTCCCCGCAGCTCTCCTCACATGCACAGTGTGGGCAGCATCACTTCTGCTCACGTGACTTAGACGTAGCGCTCATCACCAGGGTCTATAGCGAGCTGGTCAGGGAGGTGTGCAGGTTCAAGGGCAGCCTGGCTAGTTCTCTGGAGGAGGATGCACGTGCAGTCTCCCAATCAGCCGCTTTTGTCTAGTTTCCATTTGCTCTTCCTTCCCCACGGAATTTAATGTCTTTCCATCCTCTGGCTGTAGTTAAGCTGTAACTGCTGTTACTCTGCAGAAGCTAAGCACCTGCCAGAGCCTATTGGCGCTGAATCCAGAGCCCAGCCCAACGGGTGCTCTGTTGCTGAGCTTATCAGATGCCTAGAAGGAGGAGGCTGTCATGTGCTTTTTCTTCCCCAATAGTGGCTGTTCCCGGGGTGATCGTGATGAGAGGGAAAGGCTGAGGGAGAGTTAATTTGATGCTTGCTTATGCAGTGAAATGACAATCAGGCAGATGGCCTTACTGTAGCCATAGATTCTGCTCTGATGTTTCTTCTCAGGATCTGGACCGAAACACTGCTAAGCAATTAAGGGATAATGGATGGCCAGAGAATTTGGATCTCTGAGTCCTTTAGGAGGGGTAGGGAATGTTGCCTAGAGTTACAGAGCGCCATTGCTGAGGAGGGGCTTAGGGCTTATATTTAACCCAAGGATATTCAGACTTCTGCTCTCCCAGAAGAACTTGTTTTTTAAACCAGACCATACACAGAATCCTAGTATCTCACATCGATAGATGTCTTGGTTGCGAGATAGGAGCTCGATATCCTACTACTTGGGCTGCCCTTCTGCTGCCTTCTCAAGAGCAGCCTGAGTGTGGCACAGAACTGAGAGCTCTGAGCTACCCCTTGAGAACTACCTGCCTGGCCAAATCTGTTCATTCTGCTGTCCAAGGAGCAGGTTCAGGTTGCTTTGCTCTACTGCTAGTGCTAGTTGTTTTTTCTTTTTCAAATACAGTTGCCTCTTTTAAATCAATCTTTCTTTCTTCTTTCTTTCTTTCTCTCTCTCTCTCTCTTTTTCACATTTGCTGTAGAAAAATCACAATCCATTTCATGATATGAATTTCCCCAGGAACACATTTAGAACTTTTGTCTTATTTGTGTTCTAGGAGGTGGTGGGGGTGGCGACCCTGCCTAGAGCTGATTTTGTATAAATTAATTGCTGTTGGAACACTCTGCATTTTGACCCCTGAATGCTGAGAGGGCCTGGTGTAGTTGGAATATAGTGTCTGAGTTACTGCGACCCTTAGGGAATAGCAGGATGTCATGTTATGGTTGCATTTTGTCAAAAATGGTGTCACCAGATAAACGTGAAAATAGAAGAAAATTCTCAACCCTTCTCATGTGCATGGAATAGCCCTGTACAGCACTTGATTAAATGACACCATCAGGTCCTATGGGTCCTCTTCCGTAAGTGTTGGCCTGAGAGTCCACTGTGAAGTCTCATCCAGATCTCAGAAGCCAGCCTTCTTCCTCCGGCAGAGCCAGGTGCACCAGTGTGGTCAGATCTGCCCCTTTCTTCAAGCAGAGGGGCCGTCGGTGGTGTGCTCATGTGTCTTCTCCTTCCCACAGCAGTGTTGTGACCTGGGCTACCATGCTAGCCTAAACCGGGCCCTGCGCACCTTCCTGTCTGCTGAGTTAAATCTGGAACAGTCCAAGCACGAGGGTCTGGATGCCATCGAGAACGCGGTCGAAAACTTGGATGCCACCAGTGACAAGCAGCGCCTCATGGAGATGTACAACAATGTCTTCTGCCCCCCAATGAAGTTTGAGTTCCAGCCCCACATGGGCGACATGGTAAGGCCCTGCCTATCCTCTTGCTCCCCCCGTGAATTTGTGTGTAGCTTCACTTCATAGAGCCCGCATTCTTCCCGGGGTGAGGGCTTCCTGTCAGGTGGGGAGGCACGTTTCTCTCCTTCACCAGACAGCCATGGGCAGCCTGCTGCCCACCAGGCCTGGCTCTGGACAGTGGGGATCGGAGCCCTCAGGAAGCTTACATCTGCTGAGTGAGGGAGCTGAGGTTGGGAGTTAAAAGAAGGCATGGGGAGGAGCAGCCGAAAGGAACAGCTGGTGTGTCTAAAAATGGCTCACAGCTCAGTGTGGTCAAAGGAAAGTGGGGGAAGAGGTGCCTGCAGCAGTAAGTCTGGGAGAAGGGAGAGCGGAAGTGGGGCCAGGCCCAGAGGCTGGGGCGGGGGACAGAGGCATGATGTCATCTGCTAATGTTTGGCAGAGTTGGGAGGCTCTCTTCCCCTGGTTGTAGAAGACTGTGATGAAGGGGATAGTTTAGCTTAGGTATTGGACAGAACAGAATGGGTTCCTCCAGAAAGGGCAGAAGCTAAGATGCCATCCCCAAGGCCTGATGCTGGTTGCTCAGGCAAGGGAGCATGAACACGGGGGCCCAGTTAGAGATCCTTCACCCCAGATAACTGGAGCAAGAAAGGCCTGCATGGACTGAACGGAGAGGAAAGAGAAGGTCCATAGTTTTCATTGCTCTGAATCTTTTGGTTCCACTTCAAGTGGTTGTACGTCCGAATCAGAGGAAGCCTCGTACCTGCAGGTACCATTTCACCTACCACATCAGAAGGAAGGTGTATAGGCTTATGTCACAGAAAAGATCAGACGGGACCTCCAGGCATAGTTGGATATTGAAGCAAGAACTTCACCAGCACTCACTTGTCCTCCCTCCATGCTCAGATGGGCCCTCCCGTGGGGAAGGTGACTTCCCAGCCTCGTTTCCCTCCCAGTTGAAATCCAGTGGAAGGAATATCTGGCTCCCTCTTCAGAGAAGTCTTGCTGTGCTTCACTGGCTTAGTTTTGGTGAGGTGTACTGCTCAAGCCACTCACTGCAGCTGGGTACCCACTGACTTACTGGCTTACGCCCGGGTCACAGGTCTGTCCGAAGCATGTGGCCTGAGTAGTGCAGTGGGAGGCGCTCCCAAGGACAGTCAGCCCAGTCACCAAAGGAGGTGTGGATGCAGTAGATGCCCTCGTCAGTAAGAGTGCTTCCCTGAGATCGGCATCCAGACACTCCACAAAGCGCTGCTCCAGAATGACAGCTGTAGCAGTGTATGGAGAAGATTTGCTGTCATCAGCAGGCCACCATAGAGAGTGGGACCTTTCCATCCTAGAGACAGAACAGGGATAATTTCTTTGCCCTCCTTGCCGGGGAAAACCAACCCTTGCAGCTTGTTTCCATTGCTGAGGCTTAGGAGGCTTCGGTGTGTGAACAGATGGGGAGGTGGGATGGCAGCGTGTGCAGTTACGGGCGGGGAGGAGTGTCACCAGCCCCCGGGAAGCCCCATTCCTCACCTGCCCTGGCTTCCGCTCAGACTTGCCTTTAAGCCCCTTCTCCAGCTGCCACTGGGATTCCTGGCCAAGAATCGGTGGAACTTGCGGACGAGCTGAGTGGAGCGATACATTTTCTGGTGTTGACTGAGTCGTCTTCTGAGCCAAAAGCTTCTCTCCATAAAGGGAGAATCCAGATGCTGGGCACTCGGGCCCCCTCTCAGCCCTGTCAGAGCCACATTTCCATACTCCAGAGCACAGCTGGAAGGCATTACCTTGCACCCTGGTACAGGATCACTGCCAAAACATGCATCAGCAGCTCTGCTGCTGCTTAAAGGAACAGGCTTGGATGTGGTTTTCCCTCCGTGATTCCTCCCTGCTAGGTCTGGGTTACTTTAAGACTCAATCGCTTGTTCTTCTGCCTGTGTGTTTCTTTTTTGTGATAGAGCTGATCAGTGGCTGAGCCCACCCGAAGTTACCCTTTTTCACCTAGCCTTCGTGAGAGTGGCAAATAGATGGGAGAGCAGCTCATCCTTGGTCCCTGCAACCAGTTCATCCCCATTGGTGTAGGTTTTCTGTCAGCTGGAGGCAGCAGGAAAGAGCTGTCTGGAAGCCCTTGAACTAGGATCAAAGCTGAGGTGACATTCTGACCAAAAGCTGAAATTGCCGAGGCTGCACATTGACTGGCATCCGGAGGCCCTCGGCACATGAATTAATGCCAAGTGCTTTTAGATGTACGAAGCGTGGTGCCTGGCTTCATCCTTGGTGCCCCAGAGGCTTACGGGGCTCGGATGCCTGACTGGTGACATCAGGCAGCAGAGAGTTGCGCACTTGGCACTAACCCGTTCTGGCCACCGCACTTGCTCCATTGTGTCTCCTTATCCAAGAGCCAGAGTGAAGTCAGCTCCCTTCAGATCCGAGAGCTGGCTGGGACCGGTCTCTCGGCCAGGGAAGAGGTCAGACCAGTGGGGAGCTTAAAAGCCAGTGGAGGAAAAGGTCAAGCCCCAGCCTCCTCCATATGAAGAGAAGTTCTGTCTTTCAAGTAAGAGAATAGTCTGAGCATGTGAACGTGTCCACTCCTTGCTTAGAGGAAGGAGCCTAGTTCATCCAGAGGCCTCTTTGCCAGGAGCTGCCTCCACAGGAGTCCTGGTTCCCAGCTCTCCCAGCCTGCTCTTCATCAGTCATCCTGGGGCCAGTGGGCAACCTCATGCATAGCCCCACCCCCCATCAGGAGCCAGTAGATCTGCTGTCCTTTTGCAGAGGGGAAAGCCATTTGGTAGCAGTGCTAGGAGGAAGGCAGGTTGCAAAGGATTCTGTCCCACACAGACCTAGTGGAGGCCACGGGTAAATGCTAGCTCTCTGGAAGCGCCAAGCTCCGCCAGACTCCGTGCCCTCTGGGCCCCTCTAGTGTAAGCCAGTGATCTTGTTCCCGGCTTCATGCTCCCTCATTGAGTCGGAGTTCTTATGTATGGCCTGGATTTATAAACACATGCTGGCTGCCAACAGCAGCAAGTGAGCCTCCTGACCCACTTCTCTCCTGCTTTCACTCTGGTGTAAAGTGGGAGGAGGGCAGGGCTGGAGAGGTGGCCGCTTGGCCCTCGGGCAGGAAATCCTCGCCATGCCAAAGCATTGTGTTTCTGGGGCTGAGCTGCCCGAGGCACTCTCCTCCAGCCTCCCTGCCCCTGCCAAGCATCAGCCTGAAGATGGGCTCCGGAGCGAGAAACCTCGTTATTCTAAATAGATACCTCCTCCCCGTTTCTTTTCTGTGCTGTTCGGTCCACACGTTGGCTTTGGATTTTGTTTCCATTGCAAGTGTTACACCCTGAATATGAGTAGTTGTATTAGCAGTGATGAGAAAAGCTGTATCCTCTTCCTGACCTGGAGGTGCTTTTTCCCGGCAGGCTTCCCAGCTCTGTGCCCAGCAGCCTGTCCAGAGTGAGCTGGTGCAGAGATGCCAACAGCTGCAGTCTCGCCTATCCACTCTGAAGATTGAGAATGAAGAGGTGAGTGTCCCACCCAGGGATCTGAGTCTTCCCTTTGAACTTCTCACTGCTGCCCATGTGGGAGCAGGTGGAAGGAGCATGCAGAGAATGTCCGGGCTGCTGCAAACACTTCCTAGCCAAATGTAGGCTTGGACTTTCCCCCTGCTACATCCTGCCCTTGAACTCCAGGAAGTTGCTCTTGTGTTGCCAAAGGTTGTGTTCTATTTTGAGCTTTTGCAAAATGCTTTTTTTCCTCTCTACACATTTAATCAAAATGGCACTTGGTAGCTGTGAGAACAATATCGTGTCTCTGAAACCACCCTCTCGTGCCTGGCTTTTTGCAGCATTTTCAGACAAATACAGGCCATTGACTCTGAAACTTCAAACATCTCCATCCTCTTAGGAAAGGGTGACTTTCTTCTGGGCCAGTACATTTTTCTTTCCACAACCAGTTCAGAAGGACAGTTTGATTGATGATCCCACTTTCGGCTGAGCTCAGATGGTTTCTTTCTGTGTATCTCAGTTATATTATTCCCAGAAGATTGGGAAGGGCCAGGGATGCACCAGTTTGTTTCCCAGTAGCAAAACAAATTCATTGTTTTTTTGAAGGTCAGGAAACAGAACCTGGGGATGATTTTTTTTCAAAATAGAGAATTACATGCTAGACAAGTGCTCTACCACTAAGCGACATCCCCAGCCCTTATTTTATTTTTGAGACAAGGTCTTGTGAAGTTGCCCAGGGCAGCTTTCAATTTAGATCCTCCTGACTCAGCCTTCAGAGTAGCTGGGATTGTATAGGCATGTGCCGCCCTGCCTGGCCCATCCTACCTTTTAGCTAGCTCTTTGTACAATAGGGTTGGTTTCAATTTGTTTTATTCACATTTCCTTAGCACTTCCATTGTAAAGGGAGAACTAACATTAAATTTTAAAAGTTAACAGTAAGTAAAAGCTGAGTCAAGCATATAGCACGAAGGGGTAATGGATCTTGGGTCCTCAGTGGAGAGTTGCGTGCTGTCCCAGAGTCCATTGAGGTGCAGCCCTCATCCAGCAGGGGAAGCAGAGCTGGACCCTCTGATGACGTTCTCCAGCCTTCTCATCCCACTTTCACTCCCATGTCCCCAAGTTTCTCCACCACTTGCTACTTGGAGTTTGTGTCTGCCCTTGTCCTTGTAGGTAAAGAAGACGATGGAGGCCACCCTGCAGACCATCCAGGACATCGTGACTGTCGAAGACTTCGACGTGTCTGACTGCTTCCAGTACAGCAACTCCATGGAGTCTGTCAAGTCAACCGTCTCAGAAACCTTCATGAGCAAGCCCAGCATTGCTAAGCGGAGGGCCAACCAGCAGGAGACAGAGCAGTTTTACTTCACGGTGAGGCGCTCTGTGGCCTTCAGAGAACAAACAGCAGCAGGCACTCTGGTCCCTGAGGGAGGTTTGGGACTCAGAGTCCTTGTCGGGTGCCTGAGAGGACTCTGATTGCCCCAGATCGGAACCTTCGTGTGCTGGGAGCCTCTCTGTTCTTAGGGCATGACCTATAAGTCACGTGTGTCTGACGGGCCTGAGGGACGCTCCCGAGCATACCACTGTGAATTTTAGCTTTCCAAAGGGATTTGTAACCAGCTTCTGGGCTCTCATTTGAAAGCCTCTTTCTTGGCCACAGGCTATCAGGAGAGGGAGCGTCACCACTTGGTTCTTGGGAACTACATCAAGATTTCTTGGCCAACACACTTGTTTGGAAGAGGCTAATGTCTCTCCTTGGTAGTCTGATGATATTATTGTATAACTTTCATTTTGGGGAAAGTACTTTCAGTAATTATTCTTAAAACCTAAAAAGGACTCCTAATGTACAGTGTTGCCGTTTTGCAGAGCATTCCAAAACATTTCGTTACTCCTGTATCTCCAGTCTCCTTTTAGACAGATGCGCCCGTTTTTTTAAAGTGGTGTTAATAGTCCTTGGGAAGGCTGTTGGCTGCTTTTTAATAATTAAGTTATTTTGATCTCTCCAAGTGGGATTTATTGCCTGAACTAGAATTTATTTCCTAATCTTCAGATGACCAAGAAAAGAAAAATTAAGTTTGCAGATGTGTGATGAAATATAACCAGTGAATATGCATATTGATTCTGAATGAAACAAATTAACTTGTTCTTCCGTCAAGAAGCACAGTCTGCATGCAGAAATGGAATTTTTCCTCCAACTGGAACAATTTGTTTAATTCTTCTTTGACCATTGCCCTTTCTGCATTAAGAACACTAATGATTTGATTATTTTCTCGTAAATCTGTTTTTTAATTACTTAAATTCAGAATTCTTCTGGGTTTTTTTTAAATCCTGGAGAAGACTGTTGAAAGAGTGATTTAACAGTATCATTCATCTAAAACACTTTTAAAAATCTACCATACAAGAAGAGCATGCTCATTGTACACAACTTAGAAGTAAAAAGAAGAAAACAAGAATACCCTAACCCTACCACCTAGAGATACAAGGGTATGGGTGTACTCCCTTCCTGTGCATGTACAGGTGCATATGTGGGTATGTGTTTATTTTTTTGTAAAGCATGGGATACTTTGGGGCCTGTTGTTACAGGATGTGAGTCATTCAATTGTATTTTTAAAGCAAATACATAAGTAAAATGCTAAAATCGACATAAAGAAATAATGGCACGACATTTTGGCACATTCATTTTTGTGAAATATTTAACACATTGTGTGGTTCATAATTTTCATAAGTGCTAAAAATTAGGCGAGTGGTTGTGGTGCACACCTGTCATCCCAGCTGCTCGGGGGGCCGAGGCAGGAGGGTCATAAATTCAAGGCCAGCCTGGTCAACTTAACAAGACCCTGTCTGAAAAAAAAAGTTTGCAGCGCTGGGGATTTAGCTCAGTAGTTCTGGTGCCTGCCTTGAAAGCGTAAGGTCCCGAGTTCGATCCCTGGTACCAAAAAAAAAAAAAAAAAGTTTGCAAAGGAGGAAGGGTGCTAGTATAAGGCTCAGAGTTAGTGCACTTACCTAGCATGTGAGAGGCCCTGGGTTCAGTACTCAGTAGCACAAGCAGTCAGTCAGTCAGTCAGTAAACAGACACTGAAATGTTACTTGCACCATTGTCAGGTCTTACATTTGTATTAGTGTATGTTTGTGATATGTAACAATTATATTCACTTGGAGAATTGATCATACTCATATCGCATCTTGATCTTTTTTACTACTATTTCCCCTGCCCTCTCCTTGCCCTCCTTTCTCAGATCCTCTCCCCATCTCCACAGAGTGTACCTCTCTATTTCCCATCGTCTCTCCGTTTTTCTCTCTAAGTTATTTACATTTTGGGTTTCACGTATTAGAGAAACTGTGATATTTAACCTTCTGTAGTTTATTTTGCTTAGCACGATGGTCTCAAGATCTATTCATTTTCCTACAAATGACTCAAATTTATCCTTTCTGGCTGAGTACTGTCGTCACCATTACCGTCAGTCATTACTAAGTTACCCACTGGCCATGTACTGCGGGCTTGTTACAGACCTGGGAAGCGGAGAGTGAAAAGGGAAAGGGGTTACGGGACTGGGCATACAAAGGAAGAGCTTTCATTTTTATTTTATATGTTTCTAAGCAGTAATAACAGATTGATTTTTATAATAAGAAAATAAATATAAAATATTTCAATGCATGCACATGTGCATGCGTGGCAGCCACGAATGGCGCTAGGGAAGCAGCACATGCGAGTGATTTTGCACTTGATCTTGAAGGGTGCGTGAATTGGGCAGAGGACGGGGGGGAATATTGTTCCTTGCGGGAGGAGTGGGGTGCACAAAAGCATAAAGGCATGCAAAAACTGGGCTGCGTGTTAGAGAACTGACTGACTATAATGAGGGCTTTTGCCCTAGCTTCCTTGTCTAAGGAGCTTGGTGGATATTCTCTAGCAGCTTTTCATAATAACACTGTTTGGACATAAAACTTGTATTTCAAGGTTTTTGTCAGAATTACCTTTGGCTTAAATGAATCTATAGCATTTATTTTCAGCATTGACCTGTAGCAGAAACAGGAATGGCCCTATTCAAGCTGGCCACCTCTGAAGTCTTGCCTGACCTTTCTCCTTCTACCTGAATGCAGTGATGTCCTCTAACCCATGTCCTCTTTTGTGGCCATGGTGCTACTTATCAAAATTGTGTACAAATTTCCTTAGCTAACAGGAATGCTTTCTGCCTGGGCTTGTCCTGTAACAGATTTACAAAGAGCTCATCATTTTTCATAATGGTGCCTGATGTGGATGAGATAATTCATTTCAGGATAAAAGGGCTTGTTTTGGATAGTGAAATGGACATTGAGGAAGAGGTCCCCATGTTAAACTGAGGGACTACTTGTAAGGCTTGCTGAACCGTACGTAGCCCTCTGTTGCTTCTACAGATGTTTCCTTCTTTGTTTCTCAGAGTAGCATATCCTAGAGGAGTGCTGGAGAACCTGTGGCATGTGTGCCACAGCAGGCTGTTTGTATCATTGAAAGCCCTGAAAGATTCACCATCACAGTCCTAGAGGCTCCTTTCATTTGGAAAGTTTGGAAAAGGTCCTTTACCATGGCTTGATTCCACAATAGTATGTCTAGTGACCAGAAGGACTGATGGGACAGTTTTCTGATCACTCATGGCTGTCATCGGAGTAATCTGCCTGGGTGACATCGTTAGCAATTTTTTTTTTTGTACCAGGGATCGAACTCAGGTCCTTGTGTTTACAAGGCAGGCGACGGAACCACTGGGCTAAATCCCTGGCCCTAGCAATTTGAAGCATGGCCTATACAGGTCAGTTGCTTGCAGGAGTCTCAGGGCGATAATGATGGGATTATAAGGCTACATGGCACGCACCTGTGATCTCAGCACTTGGGAGCTGAGGTAGGAAGTTCACACATTCAGGACCAGCCTGAGCTACATTGCAAGTTCCAGGCCAGCCTGGTCTGTAAGGCCTTGTCCAGAAATTAAAAAAAAGAAAAAGAACCCAAGCTTCTCATTTGAAAGATTAAAAACAAAACCTATCCAATGAGAATGGGTAGCTTGGCCAAGGCCTTCAGCAGCAGCTAAACCCAGCACTCTGGTTACCTGCTCTCAGGCTGCTGGCTCTTCTTAAGGCATGTCCAGCCTTTTGGCTTGCCTTAGCCACACCGAGTGAAGAGGGGCTGTCTTGGGCCACAGGTTAAACGTTCCTGCCA